TGTGTGTGTGTGTGTGTGTGTGTGTGTGTATTGCCTTAAGAATATTTTTTATTCTAGAAAAATGAAATAATTATTAATAATTTAGATATTCAGATAATCTATTATTTAACAGATATTTTTAATATTATTAACGGGAGAAATAGAATTAACGGGATCGCTTGTGAGAACTTACATTGAATTTGAGAACTTGTATTGAATTTTTTTAATTGTTATAATAAATGAATTAAATAAATAAAATCCACATAAAATAAGTTTGAATTTATGAAATTCATTCTTAATAGAAATTGCTTATTAATATGGGAAAATTATTGATTGCAGCTAATCCAGGAAGTGTAACCGAACAAAAACGCACAAGACAAACTTATTCGCGTGAGCAAATCTTAGAACTGGAGAAAGAATATCATTATTGTAATAAATATATTACAAAATGCGGCCGTCACACGTTAGCTGATAAACTTAATTTGACTGAGCGTCAAATTAAAATTTGGTTTCAAAATCGACGAATGAAGGAAAAAAGGAATTATCAAATAATCCATCTACAAATACGGGCATCTCAACAGTATCCAAACCACTAGCAATGACAGCCAACGTTCAAATGAAAATTCACGAAAGACAAGTATTAAATCCAATGCAAATGCAACAGCAATCAGTAGTGTCAAAACCTAATATGCAGGTGAAAATTCGCGAAAATCAAATATTAAATCTAGAGCAACAAATGCAGCCACAACAACAGCAACAACAAGTTTATGAAGGAAATCAGAATTATGTTATTAATCATTCAAATTTATGGTCTAACTCGAATAATTTTGTTGTTGAAGATAATAACAAAACAATGGTAAGACAGTCTCCATTCCCATTTTATTAATAATACAAATTATTTCCAAATATGTTTAAAAATATAATTTCTAATTAACATGTGTTTTCAATATTCAAAAATATTCGATATTAAAATTCAATCCTAATTAAATAGCGCATGCTAAGTTACTTCCAAATACAGTTTTAGTTTTATTTATTAATTTTAATTAATAAATATAATATACTTTATTTATTAATTCTAATTAATACATAACATTTTTTATCAACTTTAAGAGATACAAATTAATAAAATGTTAACAGAATCTATCTAAAAATATGCTTATTTTAAACATTATTTTATACATACAGAGAAATAGTGTTAACATAAGACATATATTTTAACATAATAATTAGAATTGCAGCTATTATTTTCCAAACACTTCCTTTTTTTTAAAATACATTTTATACGATATAAATTACGGAATAAATTATTTTATTATTTTTTGAATATAGTAATGCCATTATTATATATAAAAGTATAAGTATTTACAAATTGAAAACGTAATGTTCATATATTGAAATTGACTTATAATAATAATTATGGTGCTATTTAACATTTTTCATTAAATAAAATTTTGATCATATAAATATCAGATATGAAATTTTAAAAGATATAAAATTCAGATATAAAATTTTAAAAAGTTTTTTGTAAAATGAAAAAATTAAAGGCGTTTTAATTAGTCAATAGTCAATAGTTTTACATTAATATAAACCGAGTATTAATGTGACGCAATAATTTTAATTAGGCAATAGTTTAAATGTAAATATCATTATTAATCGGATTATATATTAATTTTACTTTATCGAAATATTTTTGTATGACGTATGCAATATTCAGAAATTTTATTTATCTGTCAAAATGCAAAGATATAAAATTAACGTGATTAGTTTATTTATTATATATTATTATTAAACCGGGACATATATAATCTAAATTTTATTGGATACAAAAATTGATTTTACTATTTTTTATAACACAATTTTTTATAATTTTTATAGCAAAAACTTTTTATTACAAAAAAATTTTTAATATTGAAAAATATTATAATAAATATTTTTAGATATTGTAACAATAATTTGTAATTATTTTACATAATATCAAATTTTATTGCGAACATTTGCATGTAATAGTGGCTTTATATCGCATATGCAATATAAGTATTTGCGTTTAAAATCAATATAATTATATACTCAAGTCAGACTTACATTGATATTTTAAAGTTAACCGAGATAGTCTTAAGAAACGAACTTATAGCGAACTCAGGACAAAGTTGGTCCTTCACGCCAGTTTGTAAAGAGGGAATGCCGCCACGGCCGAGATCGGGGCTGCTGACCTTGCACTATGATTTATGGCCAAGCTAAACAACGAGTATCCTATAGCTCAGGTACACGAAAGCTTGTCCGTTCACATGGCATTTTCTTCTAAGCATTCTTTTCCTAATTTTGCATCTCGGCGGTAGATTTTTCCTATGAGTATTGCATACGTCATCCAAAAATATTTTGACGTATAAAGTAAAATTCATATCTAATCTGATTAATGATAGTATCGGCGTTTAGGCCTTTACCGTTTAATAGAATAGAATATTGATCTCATTT